TCCAATTCAGCCATGGGCAATATTTATTCACAATCCACAGAATTCTAGGTCCTAAACATTCCCCAGAAACATGATCTGGGCAAGTTTTTCTATAGAAACTAAAACTTTCTGGAAAACAGAGGTCTCTTAAACAAAGCTGTTCTTCGGTCTGCAATATTCTGGCTATTATGTTTAGTCCAAATTGAACTTAAGTAAAGAAATCCTATAAAAAGCATTTGATCAAAACAATCTCAATTTATATTTTGAAATAAATAATACCATTGAGCTCAGGTTGTACTTCCTTCCCATTTTAATTGAAGCCGGTAGCCGCTTTGCTCATGGTAATGAGTTACATAGGATCATACAGTGTGAGAGTTGGAAGGAACCTTATAAATCATCCAATATTGCTGACCATTCAGTTCTTTGAAAATGTCCAACAAGAGGCCAGTGTTCCAGAAAGAATATTCAGCAGCTTAACATTTCTTACCATCAGGAAATTCCCCTACATACAGTATTTCAGCCTAATCTCTTTTTTTAAATCCAAACAGTTAAGTGTTTGTTCTATCTTCCAATTTCTACAGACGGCTAATCTCTTCTGTTTTTCACAGTCTTCTCTTTGGAAGCTAAACATGCTTGTAAGTGTTGTTTTCCATTCTTTAGTTTCCAGAGATCTTAATGTCCTGATAATTCTCCTTGCTCCAGCTTCTTAATATCCTTTTCAAAACAAAGTGGCCAGAATTGAACATAGTACTCCAAGTGCAGAGTAATCAATGATTACAACCCACAATCTGATTTCAATGCAAGATTGTATCAGACATTTGTGCTGCTGCATCATTGCTGGCTCATATTCAGTTGGGGATCCAGTAGGACCCCTAGAACTTCTCACATACGCTACCATCAAGCAGGTTCTCTGCAATCTTTTCCTACACAGATGAACAACTTTACATTTATCCGCACTGAACAACTCTTATATTTGTCCCAATATTCAAACCTTTTGAAATAATTTTGAATTTGTTTTTTAAGGCGTTAGCTATTTCCCCTAGCTTGTATTTAAATACTGAAAAACTATGTCTAGGTATTATAAATTCTGGACTAAAGCAAGCAGAAGTCTGAAATGTGCAACCTCTTTCTCGCCACATAATAAATTTCTTATCATTTTAGAAAATTGCAATAATTAATGGCACCGAAGTCCCGTCTCCAAAATTGCTGCACATCTTTTTTTGCATCCCTCTGAGATTCTGAGATTTTGCCAAACTTGTTCACAAACTTGCAAGCATGTATTCTCAGCTGTGAGAACAAAGAAGAGATTGCTGGGCTTTCAGGCCCAATGCTCAAGCCTCCTGAAATAATGTTGAATTGTGATTTTGTTCCTTAAGATGTTAGCTTCTTTACTTTTCTTTTATTATTTTTTCATAGTCCACTAATATTGAGTCGCGTCTAAAGAAAAAAAAACTAAAAATTGTCTGAATGGTGCATTTACCAGTTTACCACTTTCTGAGCTCCCACAGAATTATAGATGAATAATGACTGAAGAGAGCAGTGAATGACATATATTCTGCTTGAGAATGGAAAGAAAAGCAAAAAAGCAACAGCAGCAAAGATGTTGGGAGTTCCAGAGACTTTTTTTTTAAAAAAAAGAGGGTTCTTGCTTACCTCGCAGGTTTTTGATGAAGTCATCCAGCTTCATCTTCCTCTCTGCTTTGACGCTGGGGCTGTACATGTCTGTGTTGAGAAGGATGATGGCAAAAGCCAAGATGAAGATGGTGTCAGGGTTCCGAAACTGGCGCACCAATGGGGCATTGCATACACAGTAGCGCTGGCTGGAAGAAACGGGGTTGAGGTTATGACAAAGCAGCAAACAATTCAGAGGTAAACAAATCACACACTCTTCAGTTCTCATGAACTATACACTCGGCTCAAGCCATATAGAATGGGAAAAAAAAATATTTGTGACAGATATTAGCTGAACCTCTAAATAAGCCTGTTAGCCATGAATTTGCAGGTAATATATGACTATATGGGCATATTAGCCTATTTATCAGTTTTACCGTATAAAATTAATCGTTATAATGTTAATCGACTGAAAGTTTAGATCATGAATCTTTGGATTAATCTAATTAATACAGCCTTATGAACTGATTCATATATCAAAGTAGTCAAAAATTAATTGGTAATTTATTTATTAAATGTATATGTCACCCATCTCATAGTCAGGGAAACTCTGAGTGGCTTATTCCTGGATTATTCTATTATTAAGCCTTTGTTTAGTTGACAGACTTGGTTAATATTCAGAATACATTATCTCAATATTGAAGCCATGGATCTCCGTCCAAACAACAGGAGTAAATGAACAAATGAGTATTTTTGTGTCTATAAATTAAAAAGTCTTTTTTTTCCTGAACTAACTTGGACCAAAATGCAGTCCCTCAAGATTAATTTGTATATACAAGCACAGGACATTGATGAAAAAATATTTTACTGAAAAAAATTCAAGATTATTTTCCCCATTTTACAATAAATAAAATGCTGAATTCCCCACTAATAGCCTTATACATCAGTTCCAATTCCATATAATGCATTTTTATACTCTTTCCGTTGTATAATGAGGCGCTTTAAAAAGAAACCAGGCTAAAAATAAACAGGAATAAAAAGATAACAAATGAAACTAGATCTTATTATTTTTTAAAGTCTTTAAAATGCCTGAGATTTTCCTTAACGAGTTAAATAAGTGCTTACTCCATGATCTTTGATAATTTGCCTATTTATTATGTTTTAGAGAATTCCACAATGCTTATGGCAAGCAGAACAAAACTATATCATATCATACTACAGGAAAAATGTATTCCTAATGTCTAATAAAACGACTTGTCTAACAGATTTGATGGGTGGGTGAAATATCTTCTTCCCTCCAAATATGGACATTTATCAGGCATAATCTTCAATTGAGACAGTATTGCCCAAATCAAACTACTATAAAGTCTGCAGCACTAGTTCCTTTTAATTTTGAGATATGGTTTGTGAATTCAGGTATTATACTAAACCATATCTTTCTCTTAATTATGGATTAGAATTGTAAGGGTTTAGGATAATCTCTGAATAATGTATATGTATTTATATTTATGTATCATGTACTTTGACTTATTAGCTGTCTAAATTCATAATCATCTTTTAGTTTAAAATCTTCAATGGCCAATCTAGAAGCATTTAAATATTGTTCTTCCATGTGTAATTATCCCCACCTACCTACTTTAATCTCAGAGCTCCAATGCTGAAACATCAGTTCCTGGTAAACCCTGCAACCATTAGTTAGAAATAAATACTGACTATCTAAGAAAATGGAGATTACTAACAGACGTGTAACAGATTGTGCTTTTTTACATCTGCAGCAAAGCTCATTTTGATTTAACTTAACCAGGAATTCCAGAGTCACTCCAAAATCTGACTTCATATTTTCCACTGAAGAAGTGTAAAGTAATATTAAAAAGGCTAGATTTTGTGAAGGTGTTTCATTATGAATGCAAGGCAATTAAGACAAATGAGGCGGGAGGGACTGGTCCATAGAGAGGAAGCTTATATTCTCAAGGCTGCTCCCAGTATTTAGGGAATTAAGCTTCATTTCTGAGCATGCTTTCCCATGTGAACTACATCTCTTTGACTGTCCAATTCTCTTGATCTCTGCTTCTTAAAAGTAAGTTTTCCAGTCCTGCAATTATTTCATAAAAGTGCAGCTGGTGGTAGAAAAAGAAATAAGCCATGCTATGGTGTTCTTAAAGATTAAGCTCTGCACCTTAAACCTGACAAATTACTTCACTTGTTCAAGATGAATGGCTGGAACTCTTATCACACACTGGCCTGTGGTGCATTGTCTTTCTCTACAATGGAAAAAAAGATCGCATTTTCTTTTAATGTGAGCATCTTTTCAGCGTGAGAGTGAATGGCTTTCTCAGGCTCATACATTCCCATTCTTCTCTGGTAGATGGACTGAGTGGATGAGACTAATGCCAGTGGACACAGGCAGGCAGGCAGGCAGACAGATTAGACACATCGCAACATGTGGAAATACACTGTGGAAATGAGTCTGCACACCTAGGAGACTTGCTCCAATGTTTTACTGTCTCTAAAACCTATGCACAAGAATCATTACACAAATAATCCCTTTCATTAGCAAACCATCATCTTTAGCCAGCCTGATATTGCAAAGAACCAATTAGCAGAATATACCAACAGGCTAGTATAACAGGAAATCCTGCAGGAATCATAGTTGAGGAACAAAATTTTATCCAAAGTATTGGAATTACAACTTCCACTAATCATATCCAGCATCATGAATGTTTGTTAGGTACGACAAACATACATGATGATATTATGCAAGCAAATAAATTAGGTACTTTCATCTGACATTGGGACACATAATCATGGAATTTACATGATGCTACTATCACATGTGCTATCTTGGAAGTGGGCAATACAAGTTCACAGGGATTCTGGGACAGAGCTTTATGTTTTCCATTGCCTGTGGTCTGTTTTCTAGACTAGTCTCTCTTCCCCATACTTCCAAATGCTAAAGAAAACTGTGGGAAAATGGTCCCACCTTCAACGTACCTGAAGGCCTCAATGAGACGCTCCACCTTCTGGGCCTCACCTTGCACCCGAATGTGTGATTGGAACTTTCTCAGGGCATCATCCAGGTCCATGCTGGAGAAGTCCATCTCATCTACAACACAACTATGAAGCAGAAAAACACAGGGAAGGAAAAGAGATATATTGGTTCAGTATGAATAAGGTTGAGCATCGGGAGACTGTGAGTTCTAATCCCACCTTAGACACAAAAGGAGCTGGGTGACCTTGAGCTAGTTACTCTCTCAGCCCTAGGAGGGAGGCGATGGAATGCCACTTCCAAAAAACCTTGCCAAGAAAACTGTAGGGACTTATCCAGGCAGTTACCGGGTGTCAACAATGACTTGAAGGTATACACACACAAATCAGTGGTGGTATGCTACCAGTTCAGCCTAGTTCAGGTGAACTAGTAGTATAAAATGCTGCCGTTCGGCCAAACCTGTAGTAAAAAAACAGCTACCGGTTCAGCTGAATTGATATTTGTTTTTTTTCCCCTCCCAACAATCAGCTGTTCCGGGATCCCTCTTGCTGTCTTACTGCTCTGCCCAGGAGGCTTACCTGAGGCCCAGGAGGCAAAAAAAAAAAAAAAAAGCCATGCCCACCCAGTCACATGGCCACTCCCACCTAGCCATGCCCGCCTAGCCACACCCACAGAACTGGTAGTAAAAATATTTGCATCCCACCGCTGACACAAATGTATAAGGATATTCCTTCCCCTGTCCATCTTCATTTCTAAGCCCATATACTTCCTTTAAAATGCTTACATAAACAGTAAGGCCTAATTTGGAGAAACTCTTAGAAACCCCTTCACAATTTTTAGGAGCAGACGTAAGAAAGAAAAGAATGAATCCCTTTATTTAACTATTTTTTCAGCACAAAATGCACTACATCCCAAATTAGTAGCACAGTCTTCTAGAGACATCATTTAGAAAGAGAAATTCTGCCACGTCCCCAAGCATGATCACTTGTCAGTACAGGAGGAATTGATGATGTTTGAATGATTGCTTGCTTTCTTGTAAAAGTTGTTCATTTCTCTCTTTCAAGAGACATCTTTTCAAAATATCTAATAGGTCTTCTTTTCTAAAGGCCAATTTTTAATCTAATCTGAAGTGTTTTCTACAAATATTCTCTTGTCTTCAATAGCATAATATATATTATTTATATAGTATTTCTTCTAAATATTCAAAAGACAGGACATGGCTGGATTTTAGCTGTAATTTGGCTGACAATGAGTCAAAAAGATTGAGTTCATACATAATGCTAAACCAGTATCCATGGCTAAAAGTCCAGTTGCCTCTTGAAAAAAGCACCTTTGGGGACAACCATGACCTGGATGACTGAGAATCTCCATAGACATCCACAATCACATACTGTGCAAAGCTAAGATGAAAGAAACCACATCTTGATTTAGTCCAATGTATGAACCTATCTATCTCCTCAATATTTTTCAGAAACCTGTAACATGAATTAATACTATATGGTGAGTGAAGCTGAATAAATACTGGAGCTTCTCTAAGGTAATATCTGCATTAGAAGGCTCCCCTGTAGTAATTCATCTTTTTAATCTTCAACGCTGAAGGTCACCGCATGGCTTTCTGTCACCTTGGGAGATTGTTTTGGGGAGATAAAATAAGGCGAGAATCTCAAATAAATCACCATGGCTTCCTAGAGGAAAGTTACAACATAAATGCAATGAACAGAGCATATAAATAATGGATACAAGTCCACATTTTGCATTCTCCTATAAACATTAAAAACAAGCAGATTATAGCTTTATATGAGGCTTAGGGGTAGGATGGACTACAAAAGCCAAAATTATGACAATGGGAAGGAAAAATGTATAAATCTTCTTACTCGAGTACATCTCGGTTGAATTGTTTCTGCCGGTTGCCAAGAAATTCTCCAATCATCTGCCGGCTCAGCCCCTTCCGCTCTAGGATAAACCGGGCCACGCCAACCGGTGTATCTGACAAGAAGCCTCTTTCAATTAAATACTGGATCCCTTTTTCTGGTTTCCTGCCAATGGAATGAGAAGAAGCCTGTATTCACACTTGCCTGAAATCGCTTTTGTCCCAAACCCGTTTTCCTCCTATCTCTTTTATTAGAGAAGAAACACTGACCCTTTTCCAAATCAGCTTGTTTCCCAAAAAGCACTCCAACTTTGTCTCTTCTGAATATTTAAATTCTAGATATTCATTATGAAAGTATCCTGAATGACCAGCCTGGTATAGTTTGGGGTCATTTATGTGGGAGAACAAGAAAGCTAATGGAAGTGCCCTTAGTTATACAATGTTTAATTATATTTGTTGCAGTTTGCTAAAGATTATAGAGAGTTAATGAGTTCTCGTTCATTTTGATCCCTTCCCTGAATTCCATCGGTCACATTATCAGATCCAAGACTGAACTCGACTTGAAATGTGATAATGTAGAACCAAGCGCTCTCCTTTAAAGCAGTAACACAGCAGAAAGCCTCACCAAGCTGTCTTATGAGGTTTCACTGCCAAAGTTGGCAACAGATTGATGAGCCCTCAGGTGTGCTTACTTACACGTGATATAAGTAAGAGCTGAGGGAGGAGGTGTAGGTGAGCTGGAAGCTAAATCATCCCACTTACACCCGCTGCCTTCCAGATGCTGATGTTGCTGCTAGCCAGGTGACTGGAGAAGATGGGACCTAAAATCCAGAATATATGGAGGTCACCAAGTTGCCTCCACTGACTTGGATCAAAGAGAAGAATATTAATATTTCAAATAAATGGATTGTTCAGATAGCTAGATAGATGGGCTAATGATATTTTTTTTAGTATAATTAATGACGTCATTTGAGAAATTAGGTCCATTCTTTAACCACCCCACCCCTTTTCTACCTGGGGTGAGAGACTGGTTTCTAAAGCCTTAAACAGGAAGGAAGGAAGGACTATAAGGCTTTTTCACATTTGGCACTGAATATTCAGTGTGATCCTATAGAAAACAGGGGAGGGAGGCTTGGAAAACACGGAATGGTGGCTGTGGTGAGGAGAACAAGTCATCCTTGCTTTAGAGAAATTGTGATCTGATATCTGGAAGCCTCAGTAACCTAGCTGATGAGGACCACTGAAGACCTCAGTAGGCAGAAACATTCGACATATTTAAATCTATCTTTTCTACCTACCTAGCTCCCTTACAGCCACAAGATGTCAGCAACACTCTTTTCATTCTCTGTTTCTCCAAAAAAACATGCTTGAGATTTTTGAAAAAAGGTTGGGGGGGGGGGCAGGGGCAGACAAAGAATTTCTGGATCGACAAGAAATTAAGTGGAAAGCAGTCAAGCACCATCAAAGCCATACCTTACCAAATTCTTTATCTGATTGCCCAGAATGTAATATTTCAAGGGACAAAAATGAGGCATTGAATTAAAGGTGCTCTAGGGATTGTAAGTACCACTTGATGCTGTTAAACCCTTAAACTCCAAAAGAGAACATAATTCTCTGAGCTGAAAGAGGTAGCAACAGGAGGCAGTGAGCTTAGACTTGTGGGCATGAGCAGCTTTGGCTCATGATTACGGGTTTTAGAGCAGAGAACTTCCACACAGACAGTTGTCCACAGCTATTAATCTGTGGTATAAGTCTTGGGGAGGTTTAGATTTCCTGCCTTTGGGACTGAATCACGGACCAGACTAATTCCTCAATTTGCCAGATTGGAGGATGCACACAGAAATAAATGCTCAAGGATTGCCTTCAGGAGGAAGGGCACAGAGATCTCCTACCCTGGCACATTGCTCCAGGCTTCAATGTGAGTCATGATTCCAGCTGGTTAATATGATGTGACGGCTGCTTCCCAGCCCCCAACAGCCTGCTTCCTGCCAGTGAAAAAGATGCTGTCTGGCTCAGGAGCAATTAAAGCTCGAAGAACAGGAGGAAGCTAAAACCTAAGCCTTCCACCATGTCTTTCAGTTTGACCTAAAGACCTGATGGACAACTGCCCAAACGGAATAGCTGAAAAAAACCCAAGTCAAAGCAAAAGGGGCACAGAAAGATATTAGGTGAAGTCTCCACTTTCAGACTGGCAATGGTCCTGTCCTTTAAAAAGCTAAAACTCTCCCCTTGTCATTTATTTCACAGCATCAGGCCGGAAAAGTTTCATTTGCTTAAGTTTAGTTACCTCAGGCACAGGAGCACAGCCTGTGTTATTTTATTTTTTTTAAAAGGCAAAAAAGGTAGAAATGGGTAAAGAAGAAATGCTATATCGCTAATTAGGATTAAGATCTCATGCTTCAAAATTTGGGGACGAGAGAAGCTAACTCACAACTATGCTGAGAAGGAAAGGGCATCAGATTTTTGGAACCCAGAATTTCAATTAAAATCCAGTTGCTAAAATAACCCTCCTTCAGATTGTCTACTGGGTGTCTCTAGGAAAGCCTTCAAAAATAGAAGGCTGCACATGTGAAGAATAAAAATTGTTGCCAACATAAACCATGGGCACCATGTTTTCAAGGACTGTCACAAAATATCCAAATTTTACCAGCAGAAGTCCTTCTATAATTTGACCTTTTTATTTCTTGTAGGCTGTATTTCATCCAGAAGATGCCCAGACCACTAAATTCTGCTCCTTGGGTGCTACTCAAACGCTCCATTGGTGATCCAGACTATACAAAGAACATATTCTTCTCCATATTGCCTATATTTTGGAGAGCAGTTGGGAAGTTACAATACGCAGAAGGACCTTGGTCAAATGGCCTTGTTAAAAAGAGAACGACATTGCAATTCTATCAGGCAGTTGGACATGGGGATATACCCAATGCATCCTTGGAGATGAAGACTGGGCTTGCACCAGGGAGATCCAAATTCAAGTCTCCCCTTGAGGTCACTGGCCAGTCTTTTTCATTCCAATCTAACCCACAGGAGATGAAATTAGCCATATGTACAGCATGTCACGTGAAGCCCTCAGAGAAAAGATGAGAGATATAAGTAGCAAAAAAAAAAGTGAAAAAGACACTCAAAGCTGACCTAGCACTTCTGTCCTCAAGTCAAGAAACCACTCACAATCCCCCACTCCAATGCTAAATTCAGCTGGGTCTCTGAGGCCTGTAAAGCTAGACCAGCCCTGGAGCCTAACCCAGCCTTCTGCTAAACATGCTTAAACCACTGTTTTCCCCTTGGCGCTCTGACCACACCAGTCATACTTGTTGAAAAGGTTGAGGCCGATGCGGTACTGGCGACGCTGCACCACGTCGTTGTTGAAGGCAGGAGAATCCCAGCTGTGCCGCGTCTCACGCTGGTAGGTCTGCTTGCAGGGCCCTACGACAGTCGTGGTGGAGGCTGGGGGAGGTGGAGGCGGGTCGCGCAGGCTGTCCCGGGAGGAGGATCCTGAGCTGCAGTTGATGGTCTCGTTGGAGTTGGTGGTGCTGTTGAGGCTGTCGTTGTCGCCATCTGAGTTGTCCGGCGGAGGAGGCGGAGGCAGGCGGCCTGGGGCCTGAGGGGGTGGGATGGGCAAAGGTGGAGGAGGCTGGCTTTTCTCGGGATGATAATGGCGGTGTGGGTGTGGGGAGCGTGCAGGCCCTCCAGGATGTTTGAGGGTGCCATGGGGGCTGCAGCCATCTTGCTCATATATGAGCCCCCGATTGACTGAACCCCGATCAGAACGGTCGCTCAGATCCACTGAGCTGTCACTGGGAGGCTCAATTGTGAGCAAGGGCAGGTGAGCGCCCCGAAGGCGGTAGTCCCGGCATTCCATGCAAGGTGTGCTGCGCCGGCTCCCGCCCCCATTCTCCCGGCTGTCCTCCCGCTGGGGCGCCCCCCAGTACTCCGGCCGCGGGGGTGGTGGGAGGGGCACTCCCGGAGCAGGCTCTGGGGGCTCAGTGCTGGGGGGGCGCTCCAGAGAGAGGGGTGACGTGGGAGCGCCTTCGTCCAGATAGAGAGTGACATCACTGAATGAAGTGGCAGCACTGTCACCCTGCTGCTCCTTGGATTCACTTTTTTCCAAAGTGGGGCCACCAGGTCCTCCCTCCTGGCCAAGTGGGTGGCAGTTTAAGGCTTCATCAATCGATTCTGCCAAGGACTTCACCTATGGAGAGGCAGAGAAGGAGGTCAGCCAGGGCAGATTCTCTTTGTCAGTATAATGGTGCAGGGCAATGGCTTGGGAGACTGGAGATAGAGCCATAGACTGGGCAACAATCAAATAAGACACAGCTGAGCTTGGAGAAGAAATGTGAACATAGCAAATATCTCAGAAGGCACCCTCCCTAATTCCTTTCACTATAAAAGCAAGGGGCGGGAGGGACGTACTTTCAGACTTGCAAGCTTCTGTTAATATTAAGCTTACCATAAAGATAGAACTAATACTCTGGGGGTGTGCTTCTTAACTGGACTACCATGCAAGGCTGAGAAGGGCTCGGTACATATTGTGAGAAAGAAGTGGGGAAAAACAACCTTCTAATTAAATCAATCCTGTACCTTATTTTAATTAATGAACTCCCATTTGAATAATATTTTATGAAACATATGGTACTGCAACAGTGAGAAGACAAGTAAGTTACCAAATCAGAATGCAGAATTATTATAGTATCAAACTCATTATAGTGGCGTTGTAACAAAATAAAATCTGTGAACACAAGTGATCCAAAGCATGATGTATAGGCAAAATGTGGTTAATAGTTTTATTCACTGGGGGGGAGGGGGGATCTAAAAAGGATTCCATACAAGGTTTTCATATAACCCATTCTGTTTGCAAGGACTTCTTAGGACATTTCCTTCAATGCTATTTGGGGGCTGGGGGGTGGAGTCATCTGCAGTGCCATGTCTACTAGTGCTGTTGCTTTACGTCAAGGGTCCCCAAACTTGGCAACTTTAAGACTTGTGGACTTCAACTCCCAGAATTGTTGAAAAGGTTGAGGCCGATGCGGTACTGGCGGCGCTGTACCACATCGTTGTTGAATTGAATTCTGGGACTTGAAGTCCACAAGTCTTAAAGTTGCCAAGTTTGGAGACCTCTGGCTTTAGGTGACTAAGTCTGGGAAACAGAATGGCAACCCAAGAGAAAGAAGCTAATGTGGAGCCCTTTTAAGTTTCATGGCATAATAAGGTGAAGTGAGAATAGACATATTTTCCATTCAGATATTCAAAAACACAGAAGGCACCTATGAATTTACCTGCCCTTACTTATTTGGTACACAGTCTTCCAGGCTTGAGAACTGTCAAGAGTGAGTAGAGACTGCTTCCAGATCAGTAGGTTACCATAAAGTAGTCGTTATGCATTATATGAGAAGTCATTTTGAGGGAGGAATATCAGGCCCCATTATCATCTCTTTTTTGTCTTGTCAGAAATGTTGTCCATTGTGTTACTTATTTGCCAAGGCTAAAGATCAATGCTTTTTAAATGAGACTCAAGAGGCTCTTTTCTGTGCCAGGGAATCCCTAGATGCACTTGCACAGATATTAAGTCTACTTTGTCTGGGCTGCAAAACTCAGACAATCCCTGGCTATATCTCTTCCTTGCCATTTAATGATCATTTGGGCTTCTGCAACCCAAACATGGTACAAAAAGCCGTGGTGTATCTAACCCTGGGCAGAACATGAAGAAGTTCTAAGATGGTGAAACAGCAGAAACAAACACAAACGATAATAAAAGGAGCTCAAATTATTAACTGTTCTATAAACATAATTTTAATAACACCTAATAACAAATTCTGTTAATTGTCTGATGCTGAACTGAGTGGTTATCCCTGTACCTTTGCAAGGCACAACAGAAATATGGCATGGAGTATCTACTGTGTATGAATTAGTTGCGGTTCCTAGGAGGAGTCAGTAAAATAGAATTTCAGAATAGAGGTGAAATTTCAATGAGGGATTTGCTAATTCATGACCCATTTTTCATAGCTTGTCTCTGTATATACTAAACAATTATTCCTGCTGCTAATAAGAGGGAGAAGCATTGCAGCTTAACATTGATTGTAACATTTTCAACCAACAAACCAGGGAGCCTTGGCATTGTGCTCATTAGTTTTCCAATTTGTTTTCCATTTTTTTTTCCTGCAAGAGGCCTACAAAGTAAGCAAAAACAAAAACTACACTACAACTGAAAACTGAAGTAATATCAAGGCAAAAATCAAGCATGCTTCAGCTTACAATGCAATCCCAAATGGGATTATCTTTTCTAAAACAGCTCAGCCTGATTAGGGGCAGAAGATTTGTGAGGACGCAGCTTCCCTTTGCTTGCCCTGTGGGGTTATAAGCAAATGAATTCTTGCTGCTTTGCTGGGGGAGGGGGGAAAGAAATGTGGGTGATGTGGAGCTGCAAAAACAAATGAAAATTTTGGCTTCTGCCAGGTTCAACTGAGCCTACTTTAAAGTGGAAGCCTGGACTTTGATGAAATAGAGCAGCTTTGTCCATCCTCGGCCTCTCTTCTATGCAGATGAAACAGAGCCTAGATACAGTGTAAGGCAGAGGTCCCCAAACTTGGCAACTTTAAGACTTGTGGACTTCAACTCCCAGAATTCAATTCAACAACGATGTGGTACAGCGCCGCCAGTACCGCATTGGCCTCAACCTTTTCAACAATTCTGGGAGTTGAAGTCCACAAGTCTTAAAGTTGCCAAGTTTGGGGACCCCTGGTGTAAAAAAAAGGTCCTGGCTAGAAATGAGACCTACAGGCTGGAGGTCCCCATCTATGCATTGGCTTAGCTCAAGGGCAGCAGAAGATATTTTGATAGCAAAGAAACCATGAGGTTCTGGGAAGAATTGAAGAAGCATCAGGGATTATAATCAAGCTGGAGAACACAAAAAGGTCTCATTTGGGCAAAGATGGTTTCTAGGAAAGCTACCTGGAAATGTGAAGTTTGGGCCTTACCTGCTTGGAGAAGGAATCCTCCAGCTCCGTGATGTCATTGCAGAAGCCTCCAGAAGAGGAATGCAGGGAACCACCGTCCAAGCCGGTCCGGCAAGAGCCACCGTAGGGAAGGCCGTGATCCAGAAGATGAGGTCGCGCACTAGCCATGGAGCCCTCATCCAGAGAGGCAGGTTTACCTTCAAAGTAAGGGGCATTCTGGGTCTTGTCATATTCCTCAAATGAATATTGCATCCGCATGTTGGACAGGATGATGCGCCGTGACATACGGCTCTCTGACGCCGAACTTCTTAGGCGCTCAAACTTTTTGTTCATGCGGTACTGGCGAAAGGCTGTTTGAATCGTACGAGCTGCCCGCCGGCTCAAGAAATAGCCCCCATACTTCCGCTCCAGCATCTCCACCTAGGATGGGCATCAATGGGGAGGAAGGATTTGGAAAAGAAAAGAGGGAGATGAGTGAGGAGAATAGGAAAATCGAAACATGAAGCTAAGAACAAGCCAATCACCCCCCCCCCCCAAAAAAAACAACAACAGTGGGTTCTGAGCAAGATACCACACTGGGTTTTCTCAGAGCAAAAGGATATTGTTAATTTCCAAAGAAATACATGAAGCAAGCTCAAACTGAAGCGGCCTATTTTAGCACAGCATATGCTGACTCTTGGCTATTACGATGTCTTCAGATGCGCAGGCACAAACTTTCCCATCACTTGTTATTTAAATGGAGGTGCTGGGGACTGACCTACAGCAGTGCTTCTTAACCTTGACAACTATTATATATCATGATGCATAATATTATATGTCAATACTAGAACATATGCTCTGCACATGGAAGATCTGTAGGTCAGTGTTTCTCAGCCTTGGCAAACAAATGTCTATGGAGATTCTCAGTCATCCATCCAGGTCATGGTTGTTCCAAAGGTGTTTTTTCAAGAGGCAACTGGACTTTCTGAGCTGCAGAAGCTTCTTGGCTAAGAAGAGAAATATCTTCAAAGAAAAACCAGAAAGTCCAGTTGCTTCTTGAAAAAAACACCTTTGTGTCAGCCTTGGCTGGATTTCAACTTGCTGGCTGGGGAATTCTGGGAGCTGAAGTCCAAACATTTTGAAGTTGCTAAAGTTGAGAAACACCAACCTACAGAAACACCGACCTACAGATGCAAAGCATATGCTCTAGTATTAAACATTTTCTCTTAGGGTTTCTGCCTTTGCCTGCCTTCCAATTTACAGATATTGGATCTTTCAGTCTTTTAAAGCAGGGGTCCCCAACCACCGGGCCCCAGACCGGGACCGGTCCGTGGAACATTTTCTACCGGGCCGCCGGTTTGCTGAGTGCTGCCATCTTGTTTTGATGAGAAAGTGCTTCCGGTGAGCTTTTCCGGTTGGAAAGCGGCGTTTGGGTCCTGAAGGAATCCTCGCGCCTTAGTTTCATCAAAGGGGGGGGGGGCGGCTTCAAACAAAACTAAGGCGCGAGGATTCTTTCAGCACCCAAGGCAAGGCGAGCCGAGCAACCGTCCCGAAGCCCATCGACAAAGGTACAAAGGAGGAGTTGAAGGTGGCAGGGAGAAGCGGGGGACGGCTGGCTGGCCGGTCGCTCGGCTCGCCTTGCCATGCGTGCTGATGCCGGTACCGGGCCACGGATCATTTTGTGATGTCGGTACTGGGACGTGGAACAAAAAAGGTTGGGGGCCACTGTTTTAAAGAGCTTTTGTGGGACCAAGTTTTCCTATTTCGTAGATAGTTCCCATACTGGCTCAATCTACAAAACCTTTTACTGCAGCCTTCAGACAAATCAGGTCTGTAACTCTCAAAATGCCCCACAATAATGCTGGCTCATTGGACTTCAAGGAAGCCACAGGATTTGATTCCTGCACGTCAGGAACACCAGAAGCTCTCATAGCTCAGCAAAATCCATGACCAGATACCTTTTTGTCCTGAAGATCTGTTGAGAGCTCATAGCTGTCTGACAGTGCTGATCGTTTGCTATCCTCCTCTTCCTGCTTCCTCAGAGCCACGCTGGCTGGCTGTAGCCGAGCTCGCTGGGCCCACGGAAGCCCTGGTGACGGAGCGTGACAGACAGAAGAAGAGGAAGATGGCACTAAATCGTAGTGCTCAACCTTGGTCACTTCAGGGACACATCGGTATGGTTGACTGCCCAGACTGTCCACTATGGTTCCTGCCTCGCTTCCCGGAGGGTCTCCTTCCACACTGCAAGAAAGAGAAAAAAGGCTAAATGAATGTGGATGAACAAAGGTTTTTTTTTAAAAAAAAACATAGATATTAAGTATGTACCAACACCATTTTGAACTCGGAACACTCCCCATAATATTTGAGACCAGTCATTTTGTGTTTGCAAGCAATCACTTCTTTCTTCTCAGAATGGTGGTTTCATGAAACATTTTGCATTCCCTTCGCAGCAACCCATCACTTTACAGTATTGATGGGTTGCTGTGAAGGGAACGCAAAATCTGTATTTTTATACTATTTTATCTTATTTGTATGCTATTTTTATATATTATAGACTGACCAAATTAGCCATAGAGAACTACAATTAATCTGTTGCACAAATTCTTTCATTGAATGAATCTCCTTATTCTTCACAAGGTCCTACTACAGGTAGTCCTGACTGCTTTATTCGCAGACTGCTCAAAATTATGATGGCGCTGAAAAAGTAGACTTACAATCAGTCTCGAAACTTGCAATATTCCAAAAATCAAGAGGTCTGGGAGCTTTGTAATAAGAATATATTTATGATCATTGTAGTGTCTTTTGGGTCATTAAGCACAACATCCTATGATTACTATTTATGACCTTCACTGCCAGCTTCTGACAAATAAAGTCAGTGGGGAAGCCAGCAGGAAATCATAAGTTGTGGTCACATGATGTGCTTAATGATATGTGGTGCTTCGGTTAATGACCACAGCAGAACAGATGTTCTAAGTCCAGCATGGTCATGTTTCATTTAGCAACCACATTGCTTAGCAATGGATCAGTCAGTCCCAATTGTACTCAGTAAGTGAGGACTGCCTGTAATCTCAATAATTCTGGATTAACTTTTTCCCAGCAACATTTTGTTATCATTCTCCTGACCTAAGAAATAGACCCTGAAGCTTCTATTAGCCCCATTTGGAAAGCACGTATTAAAAGCATGAACATAGAACAAGAGATGAAGGTGGGGGAGGCTGAAAAATCAGAGGAATAACATGATGGTAAGAGTTAAACCATGGTGGATAAAAATATTTTTTTTACAATTTTTTATTTAAATTGGATTTTTTAAAATTTAAATTGGATTTTTTATTTAAATCAGATTCTTTTTTATTTTAATGAAATTTATTTTACTAAAATGCTTTTGGAGTAAAAATCTATCAAAAGATAGTTTTCTATTTAAGATACATTAATAATTTAGTTTATTCCGCATGAAATGGAGCTTAGTTATGTAGCATGAGGCTGTATATTCTGTAATATTTACATTTTTGGTTAGCTCATTCAGTGAATCCAAGCTCTGCAAGCTAAATAGGAAACCTTCATTTTCTTTGCAAATAATAATATTAAAGATTGTAACTACTAGCAAGAATGAGCCCTTACATTTAAAGAGCACCTGTCATTGCCCATCCATCATGGCAGCTCCTGTTAGCGGGCATCCACTCACCTGCTGCCTACCACGTCCCTCACCTTGTTGTGTCACTGCTACATCACCAGCCATCCCATTAAAGTGAATGGGAGTGTCAGTGAATCAACAGTAGGTCAGAGGAGGAGCTGCTGCGGGACAAAGATGACAGTTGCTCTTTAAAAAGTATGATTTGAATCGAGTTGATTTAAATCAAGCCTTTTTACTGGTGATTTAAATCATCAACTTCAGGGGTCCCCAACCACCGGGCCGCGGACCGGTACCGGTCCATGGAACATTTCCTACCGGGCCGCCGGTTTGCTGGGCGCCGCCATCTTGTTTGACGAGAAAGTGCTTCCGGGTGAGCTTTTCCGGTTGGAAAGTGGCGTTTGAGTCCTGAAGGAATCCTCCCGCCTTAGTTTCATCGAGGGGGGGGCTTCGAATGAAACTAAGGCGCGAGGATTCTTTCAGCACCCAAGGCAAGGTGAGCCAAGCGACCGTCCCGAAGCCATCCCGAAGCGAAGCCCATCGACAAAGGTACAAAGGAGGAGTTGAAGGTGGCGGGGAGAAGCGGGGGACGGCTGGCTGGCCATGCGTGCTGATGCTGGTACCGGGCCGCGGATCATTTTGTGATGCCGGTACCGGGCCGCGGCACAAAGAAGGTTGGGGGCCACTGATCAACTTGATTTAAATCAAATCCACACTGGGTTAAACCTTGATCTAATCCACTCCAACTGTTTTGCATTTGTTTTTCTTATTTAGGGTAAGCAATTCCTTGTGCCCTGTAAAACCTCAACTAGAATAGGTCACTTATATTTTTCAAAATCCAGAGGATGTTCCTTGTTTCTCTCAGCCTATGCCAGCTTGCCTGGGTTCTTCCGGGAGGATCTTTCCTAATGCTATCTCTGAAGACAACCACCTTTCCATCAGAATGGAATTTTTTTTCAGGAGAGTTACAAGTGGATGGCAATATAACTGACCAAAGACAAAGGAAATTCTATCCAACACATCTACATCAGCTGTGTGCATCAAATAACATATGAAGCAACTACAACTACAGCTACAAACTCTATTCCTTTTGAAATGTGCCATGATGTCACATGCATATACATTGAAAAGCAGAAGTTATGATATCATGAAGAACATTTCATCGTTTCAATGCAAACTCTGGATTCATCTGGATATCTCTGAATGTACCAAGAGGGAAGCAGATTGGAGAAGGCTGCTCTTTTCAACTTTTGCATCATAATTTTGACTTAAACAAGTCCAGACTCCCCTGAACAGATGGATTCTTAAGCACAGTAAGCATGCATGTACACATCTGGTTTAGATAACTATACCTGGTCTAATAAAATCAATTATACCTTTCTAAAACTTCTGCACAGCTTGAAATCCACAAAAACGAACAAAGCTCACTTGACATGTTTGTAAATAAAATGCTTACATTGGTGCCAAGGAAACTCTGGGCAAGATGGTTGCCAGGGACAACCAGTTATCTGGCAAGGGATGAATTGACAGGATGTGAATGTGAAATGTGGGGTTTCCTGCATGCAGAGGTCCAGACAGACCTAGACATGGCACTGGGTATTTGCCAACACCCTCATTTTGTAGTCTCAGGAAAACTCTCAAAAGCAAAGGATTGCGACTCAGCTTTTAATGCCATAGAAAACTGATAGATCACAAGTTATTAAGGCCTGCTTCAGGTTTACCACACCAAGAAAAGATACTCACTCTGTTGGGCAGAAGACATTTACACTAGAACCACACCCATCCCTGACTGTATCTTTGCCCACCACCCAAATGTGTTCTCTTATTATCATCATCATCCATAATGAAGGCAACTCTCAATAGGAAAAATGTTCCTCAACATCCCTAACAGTCTCATCTGCAAGACTAAATAAACAAATATATCCTAGAAAATAACAATGATGGTTGTAGTTGTACCCCACAGGGGGTAGATTAGTGCGGTCAAATAATCTGGTTTGCCATTCCTAAGAGATTTTTTTGGGGGGTATTTACATTAAATTTATTAACAACTATAAAAAAAGAAGGGATGAAGTAGTTAGCCATTATCAGAACATATTATTGGACTAAATAGATCAGAGGACTGATCCAGGAATCTCCAGGAGATTGCATATATTCTTCTTCTTAAAAAGTAAAATATAGATTAAAAGGAATTTTAAAATGTTGTGGAGGTTATAGTTTCTAGTACATGATAAATTAGTTGTAAGTAACTGATCATACTAAATCACTATTAACTTCTAAGATAAAAATTAATACCAACAACCATGATCTATGTTGTGTAATTTACCAAGTAAATTATAAGCTATAATAAAATTCAATCCATATTACTAAGACTCTATTCTAATTTAAATAAACTTGTAAAATTGAATTATAGGTCATATATATAGAGAAATGTACATTTTGGATGTGGTGCAAATCTCTAAATTAAGTTGTAGTTTAGGAATGGTTCTGTTTTCGGCGTGACAGTCTCCTGCAGCTCTCTGGCAGTGAAAACAGTGCCTGGGCTCCCGTTTTCGCTGGCAGAGGGCTGCAGGCTATTGTGGCCAAAAACAGAGCCCAGGCAGGGCTGCACACGGACTCCCCGAGCTCCATTTTTGCTGGCAGAGGGTTGCAGGAGGCCGTTGCAGCCGAAAACGGAGCTCAGGAGAGCAATGTGTTTTTACTGGCAGAGACACCATGGGTAAGTCCGCTGTTTCCAGGGCGGCTCCGTGGGCCAGATATAAGCACCCTGCAGCCGGATCCAGTCCGCAGGCCTTGAGTTTGACATCCCTGGTGTAGAGGACTTCCACTATGCTTTTTCTCAGTTTGAGATGATGGCCTGTAGAGGGCCCTGCGCTGGAGACACTGTTGGGGTGGATTCAGCCAACTGAATTAGATGTCTATATCATTTTCCTACTTTTCAAACTGTCAATCATTCTTAACAATATCTAAAATAGATCATTCAAGGAAACTATCTTTACCAGCCACAATATAATACCTCTCTGTTTATTCTTGTGTGGTGCGTTCACATATGCTTTTCCTGGTCTGCTCTGAATATTTAACCCCTGAATATAGATTGGCTTCTACTCTAAACATTTATTGCAACTTTACCAGCACTACAGGTATGAGACTCTGGGGAAGGCTGACTTATTTAAAAAAAGAGTTATTTAGCAACCAACTGCATAAGCACACACAGTAACTTTCCTGGTCTGAAACACATAGAAATTTCTAATCATTCATAGCACTTCGTAATCACCAAAGGATGCAATACAATAGACAAGTGGTCTGTTATATGTCTAACACACGTTTGAAATTTTAAACAGGGAAACTGGCAGGTCAAAGCAATTTTAGGGGTCTTCCTGTGCCAGTATACGGAGTCAAGGGATAGAACTCTAGGTGGCAAACCACAAGTGGTCTAAACGCCTGATCTAATATGATCCCTTAACAGTCAACCTCAAATAGTGACATCAGTGCTCTTACAGAAGTCTATTTTATTTAACAATATGGTTTACAAAATGAAAGTGATGAAAAACTGCCATTAAAATAATAGTGCTGAAAAGAACTGGACTAAGAAAACCCTTTAGCACAAGGATACAAA